TCCCGCAAAAGCCACATCATCTTCCCTCAACCCAACTATGCTGACACACTCATCAGCCAGGAGAGCTGTGAGAAGAAGGATTTTCTATCTGCACCCCAATGTTTACTAGATGATAAAGGAGAAGAAACATCTCAGGTAAAGTTACCTTTGCACAATATTCTCAATTATTTTTCCAAAATAATTTTGCCTACTTAGTTGCCTGCACTGTTTATCTATTTTATTCTCCCAATGTCCTTAAGGATATATTTAATATTCAGGATATGATTCCTGATGAGTTACTTCAAAGTAGTTTTAGGTGTTGGCATTTTGTCCAAGGAGAATGGGAGGTGGAATTTTATAATGGGCATAAATCAGGAGTGTGTGTGTAAATGATGGTGATAGTTCCACTAACAGAAATAGTGTATATTACCAAAATAATAATTTTTCTCCTCAGAAGAAAACATCTTACCTACCTGGATCAACAATTCCTTCTATCTTAAAAACATAAAGTGTTACATGCCTTGTTGTCTCACACCTGCAATCATAGCTATCTAGAAGGCTGAGTTGTGTGTATTGTAGTTCAAAGCCAGCCCAGACAGGAAAGTTCATGAGATCCTTATCTCCAGTTAACCACGAAAACCCTAAAAGTGGATCTGTGACTCCAAAGGAAGAGTGTTCATGTTATGCAAAAATGTTAAGGCCCCGAGTTGAAGTGCCCCAGCTATATTCTTCAGTTTTAAAGTCCTTGGCTTGAATTCACAGGGCCCTGTGTTCTGTCCCTAGCACTGCAATTTGTTGACCCCTACTGGATTTTTGTTGATGAAAACCTCTTCCCCCTTCAAAATGTAAAGACATTTGCTTTGCAAAACCCTTTAGGTATCAAATACCTTAAATCTTGTCTCAGTATTTTTCTTCAGACTGGCAGTGAATTTCTTCAATCTTCTTTAATTCACAATCAATATCTCTTAAAGGGATGAAGATTTGAAAGTATGCTTTTTTTATGGTGCTGTATATTACACCCAACGTTTTCTGAAGGCTAACCACACTCTTCAGCACTGAAAAACATCCCCAGTCCACATATTTAGGTGTGTGTACCCACTAGCATGTGTGCGTGCATTATGGATTGAACCCAGGGTCCTCAAGCAGCACATGTCCTACCTCTGTCATGCATCCCAGCCCAGATATGCATGTTTCAGGATGATGTGTCATGGTACCTCTGTTTAGTTTTAAATTACATTGCCCTCTAAAGTAGCTGTCTACTTTGAACAACTGACATCACTTGCTCTATTAAAAAAATGGTAAAGGCATTGTAAACAGGTTTCCTTTCATTGTTACTCCTCATAGCTTGAAATTTTATTGCCATTTTTAACTTTTAAAATATGTTGTGCCTTCAACATAGCTTTGATTTTTAAAAGAAAAATCATGAAAGAGATTTAAAGTGTGTGTCATACAATTGCCCCTAAATATTATCTTTTTGCACTTCCCCACTCATATCAGCTTCTATAATTCCAATCCCTCACCTAATCTGAGACCCTCTTGAAACTACAGTTTTCCTTCCACATTCTTTTTCCCAGGTTGTCTTTCATTAAATTGGTCATATATTTAAAACAGAGGATAATGAACTCAGTAATACTCTGTGCTGGGATGGTTTTTGATGTTGATTTGGAAGTAATTGTATACTAATTAGCTCTTGTATCTCACATTATCACGTATCTTCAAATACTGTGACTCTTCAGTAACATTTGTTAGGGGGAAATCTGAGATGATTTGTTCAACTGTGCTTATTGTGGTTTCAAAAATATCTATGTGGCAAAATTGAAACTCATAATATTTTCATGTCTAAGTAAAGTACAAATAGAGAGAATTTTAAAATAGGGTTCTTTTAGTGTGTGTAGCAATGCCAGAAGCACTAATGCATTATGGGTAAGTATACAATGCACTATAATTGAGATGCCAAATACGGATTTTATTTCTTGTGTGTTCAAATCAGAGACATAGCAAGAAAGGGGACTCTGGGACATAAAACAAAAGTTTCTCTTCTAGTTTCAGGTTGTTTTTATTTTTAAGAAAAACATATTTACACTCTAGACTTAGGCAAAATGAACTTCTCTCAAAATCCACAGGGTGTATAATTTCTCCATGCTCCACTCCTCTTACTAACTAGAAAAGTCTTTGCTACCCTCCAAGGCCAGGTTAAAGGCACTAACAATACCCTTGGTATCACCCATCTCATTGAGTTGTAACTTCCTATTTGCTTTCGCAGTTTCATAAACTCTATGATGTTGGTGGCTATGTTTATATTGTTTGCCTTAAATTTCCAGACAAACATACTGTCTGATACCTCGTTGTGCGTTTATTTAATAAACATGTCAGGCTATCAAACATAAACTTCAAGAATTAAAGTGTAGGGCTGAGTGGTACATTGGAACAATGCCTGTCTAGAAAGGTCTGCACAAACTCCTAAAGCAAAACATCAGTACAAGTAAGAAAAAAGAAGTCAGGAAAAGAAGAAAGAAATGAAGGAAGGAAAGGAAAGAAAGAATTGTAAATATGGCTGGTATTTCTGTTTAGTTCCTAAATTGAACATTTAGAAATAGTAACGCCACTGTGTTTGAAGAAATATCGGTGAAATTGAGGATAGTATATGATTTCCTAAGGAAAATAACTTGAAGTCAGCCCTTTAATATATGTCATATAAATTAAATGAAATCACAACTCGTCGCATTACCTTTAAACATTAAAAGGGTTTCAAAAGTGAGGAAAATGAAGTTGTCTGAGAATGTGCAGTAAACTGTTAGGCCTCTGGGTGTCGCTGTTGACCACTCATGAAGAAAACCGGCTGCTGGAGTGCTAGTCCACCATTTCCTTGCTTCTAAGACGCAGAGCCAGAAAATCAGACCGAACACTGGGGCGACTACCAAACTCGCCCCATAATTCAACTAGCTCTGTGATCTATGGATAAATCCCAGAAAAGCCTTCACTCCTTGAGGAAGTAAGATTGGGGTGCATCGTGGGAAACTGGAAGCGAATTCAGAGAAAATAATTCATCAAAAAAGGAAATGAGCAAGTGCCTGAAATTTCGACACGGCAGAGGGCTGGCTCTGTTGTGCGCGCTCCTGGGGATGCTGTGTGACACAGGAACCGGGCAGATCCGCTACTCCGTGCGGGAGGAGCTGGACAAAGGCTCCTTCGTGGGGAACATCTCCAAGGACCTGGGACTGGAGCCCCGGGAGCTGGCGCAGCGCGGAGTCCGCATCGTCTCCAGAGGTAGGACGCAGCTTTTCTCTCTCAACCCGCGGAGCGGCAGCTTGGTCACCGCGGGCAGGGTCGACAGGGAGGAGCTCTGCGCCCAGAGCGCGCGGTGTTTGGTAAAATTTAACATCCTCATTGAGGACAAATTGAAAATTTTTGAAGTGGAAGTAGACATTAAAGATATTAATGATAATGCCCCTAGTTTTCCAACAGAGGAATTAGAAATCAAGATTGGTGAACTAACAGTTCCGGGAACCCGATTTCCACTTAAAACTGCATTTGACCCAGATGTAGGCACCAACTCCTTGCAGAACTACAAGCTCAGTCCCACTGACTACTTTTCCTTGGTTGTGAACACTGGCTCTGATGGTGCTAAGTACCCAGAGCTGGTGCTGGAGCGATCCTTGGATCGTGAGAAAAAGGAAGTTCACCAGTTGGACCTCACTGCCTCTGATGGCGGTGACCCCGTTCGCTCAGGCACCTTGTGCATCCAAGTGATAGTGTTGGATGCAAATGACAACCCACCAGTGTTTACACAGCCGGAGTACCATGTCAGTGTTCTGGAGAACGTTCCAGTGGGCACCCGGCTAATCACAGTGAATGCCACTGATCCTGACGAAGGATTCAATGCTCAAGTATCCTATATTCTAGATAAAATGCCTGGGAAAATTGCTCAGATTTTCCAGCTCAATTCAGCAACTGGAGATTTATCAACATTAAAAAGTCTAGATTATGAGGAGGCTATGTCCTATGAAATAAAACTTGAAGCACAAGATGGACCAGGTCTTTTCTCAAGAGCCAAAATTCTAGTCACAGTTCTGGATGTGAATGACAATGCCCCAGAAGTTACAATCACTTCCCTCACTGGCTCAGTCCCTGAAGAGGCTGCCACTGGGACTGAAATTGCTCTTATCAATGTGCATGACCGGGATTCTGGACAGAATGGGCAAGTTTCGGTTTCTGTCCTAGGAAATCTGCCATTTAATTTAGAAAAATCAGTAGGCCAGTATTACCGCTTAGTGACAGCTGGATCTCTGGATCGTGAACAGGTGCCCCAATATAACATCAGTCTGAGAGCCACAGATGGTGGAAGTCCTCCATTGTCCACAGAAACTCGCATCACTCTGCATGTGACAGACATCAACGACAACCCTCCTACCTTCACTCATGCCTCCTACTCTGCCTACATACCAGAGAACAACCCTAGGGGAGCCTCAATCTTCTCGGTGACTGCCCAGGACCCAGACAGTGAGGACAATGCTCTCATCACTTACTCATTGACCGATGACACCATACAGGGTGTGTCACTGTCATCCTATATCTCCATCAACTCCAATACGGGTGTACTGTATGCACTACGTTCCTTTGACTATGAGCAATTTAGAGAAATACCGCTACTGGTGACCGCTAGCGACAGTGGGAACCCTCCACTTAGCACCAACATATCACTGAACCTGTTTGTAGTGGACCAGAATGACAATGCCCCAGAAATTCTGTATCCTGCCCTACCTACTGATGGTTCTACCGGTGTGGAGCTAGCACCCCGATCTGCAGAGCCTGGATACCTAGTGACCAAGGTGGTGGCAATAGACAAGGACTCAGGACAGAATGCCTGGCTGTCCTACCGCCTGCTCAAGGCCAGTGAACCTGGGCTCTTCATGGTGGGGCTGCACACAGGTGAGGTGCGCACAGCAAGGGCCCTTGTGGACAGAGATGTGCTCAAGCAGAGCCTGGTGGTGTCTGTGCAGGACCATGGCCAGCCCCCTCTCTCGGCCACTGTCACACTCACCATCGCAGTGGCTGACAGCATCCCTGATGTCTTGGCAGACTTGGGCAACATCAAGACTCCTGCTGATCCAGAGGATTCAGACCTCACACTCTACCTGGTGGTGGCGGTGGCTGTGGTGTCTTGCATCTTTCTGGCCTTTGTCATCATGATACTTGTTCTCAGGCTGCGACGCTGGCACATGTCACGCATGCTTCATTCTACAGGAGATAGGGGCATGCCTGGCTCACACTTTGTGGGTGTAGACAGGATGCAAGCTTTCCTTCAGACCTATTCCCATGAAGTCTCCCTCACCGCGGATTCCCGCAAAAGTCACATCATCTTCCCTCAACCCAACTATGCTGACACACTCATCAGCCAGGAGAGCTGTGACAAAAGTGAGCCTCTCCTGGTATCTCAGGATTTGCTTGAAACTAAAGGGGACCTCAAGCTGTTTGAGGTAAGTTTCTTTCTTTCTTTGAGTATTATGCAGATGTGGTTATTCTAAAGTTTAAACACATATTTATTTAAGAAATAAAGCAATGAGGTACTCATTTATTCTGTTGGCTATATGTGTATCCTCTCTCTCTGAGTATGTGGGGAAATTGCACTTCCTGGCATGTTTATGGAAAAGTAAGCCTAGGCAACTCTGGTCAACAATGCATTGTGAGTAAAGTGGTGTTTGTCTCTTATTGGAGGAACCTGTGAAAATTCCAGACCTCTAAGTGACCCTTTGAGAATGTGACTATTCTTTCTACCTGTATCCTTAAATAGCCATGATGAGAAAATGGGTTTGGTTATTGCTCTGGCGCTATGGATGGAACTCAGGGCCATAAGGTCATATTACATATGTGTTCTACCACTGAACTTACTCAGCCCCGCCTTTTACATTTTAAATCCTTGTGATTTGGACTTGGTCGTTCTTGCTTACCTAGTCTACCCTGATTGACAAATTTAAAAAATGAATAAATACCAAGTGTTTTATACTCCCATAGATCATGTTTGACTCTTCCAAGCCAGATCATACTCTTTCATCTTACAAATACAAAAACTATAGAGTAAAAAATGCTAAGGAGGTAGTATCCCTCGAACCCAGGACTCCAGACTCAAGAATCCTGAGCAACTTAGTGAAACAAACATCAAGAAAAATGTAGATAACTTAAATAGTTTAACTTTTTAATGGCATATTATGTTTTCATAGTGATTTCAGACTTTTCCCTGAAAATAGAAAGTCCATTTGTCTTTACTGTTAGATGATTTTGTGTGGTATTTATTATCCCTTGAGAAGGATTTTTTTGTTAGTCATGTGGCCTGAACTCTGGGCCTGGGCACTGTCCCTCAGCTCTTCAGCTCAAGGCTAGTGCTCTACCACTTGGGCTACAGCCCCACTCTTGGCGTTTTCTGCTTATGTGATGCTGAGGAATCAAACCCAGTACCTCATGCATGCTAGGCAAGCACTCTACCATTGAGCCACCTTCCTAGCCTTTGAGAAGGAGTTTTTAAAGGCAGGGAGGTGTCTCACTCTCAGCAGAAAATCTCCATGTCACCAATTTCAATAAGGAAATAAGAATCTTTATCATGTTCTACAACCTTCTTGAATCTTAAATCATGGGTCTATTCTGCAATTTATGAAATTATTTTAGCTCATATAATTTTAAGAGTCATTAAAAAGGGATCAAAATGTGTTTCATTAGCCTTAAGGGGACAGATCTATCCCTAAATATACCAAGAAAAATACATTCAAATGTATGAACCAGAAGAAGATATTTATAAGCAAAGAAAAGTGTACTCTCACTCAAATTCAAATACATCACAGATAACTTTAGCCTATCTTTGGGGTCCATTCTTTTTAGTGTCCATGTCACTTTCCCCAAAAGGATAAAAGTACTGGGGCTTGAACTCTGGGCCTGGGCACTGTCGTTGAGCTTCTTTTTGCTCAAGGCTAGCACTCTACCACTTGAGCCACAGTGCCACTTCTGGCTTTTTCTGTATATGTAGTACTGAGGAATTGAACCCAGGGCTTCATGCATGTGAGGCAAGCATTCTGCAACTAAGCCACATTCTCAGCCCTCACACATCTTATTTTACTCAGATGAATGTTTTTCCTAGAGGACAGGCAAGAATTCATTACAAAGCAAAGGGAGGCAAAACTCATAATAAAATGGACAAGAAGCATAAAGGCTTGGAATAGAGAAAACAAGAAAAAAACCTAGGGAAACATAATATCCTACCATTGACTGGAGTATGATAAGAAATAAGTTCTCCAAAACAAAGTAAATTGATAAGTCTTTAAAAAAATGCTGCTATCACAAAATAACAGAGGCCAGAAAATTGATAAAGAGCAGAGTTTTATTTAAATGTGTCTTTTTCTGGAGGCTGGGAATCCAAGACTAGACCATCATTTTCTCAGCATCTGGTGAGGATCTTCTTGTTGTGGCTTTATATAGCAAAAAGTATCACATGACAAAAAAGAACAAATGAACCAGTACCAGCTGCTCTTATAACAAAGGTACTCATGTGCTACCCATTCATGGAGGCACAGCCCTCATGACACAGTCATGTCCCAAAAGTCCTGCCTCCAAATCTCATCGTATATGAATTTAAACATTATGTTTCCAACTCATTCAATGTGGGGGATGTATTCAAAGAACAGGAACATCTACTTTGGTTGTATTTTGAATAAGGGGATTTGCACATCTGAACCTGCCTATTAAAACCAGGATTAAATTCTGAAGTAGAATGTTTAAAGGTTCCCATTTCTCTCTAAGACCCACCAGTGATCAAATAATTTCACTTGTTAATTGGTATTAAGTTGGCTGCAGTTTGGAACTGACATTACAGAATAGTGCTTGTACTTTCACCTAAAAGGAAAGCACTGGTAGACATGAGATTTGGCATTATAAGACCACATTTTTGCCTAGATTCTTTGCTCTACTGAACCTATTTTGTAAAGAAGAGGAATAAGTCTAGGACTTGGCTCCCTCTATTTTGCAAAGATTATAACTTTGAAAGTATTAACCAAGTTGAAGAGAAATTAAATTTTTAATTAAAAATTAAAATTAAAATTGCTGTGGAGAAATTAAAATATTAAATAAAGGAAGTTATTCCAATGAATCTGCAGAAAAGTAAGGATTGTAGTCCATTAAAATGTAGGTAAAATGCATTCCCTTATTTGGATATGACAATCATACCTGAGTTTATAAATGGCGCACAACAAAATCATTATTTTTACACTCAAAACTGGGAGGAAACGACTATGCCTTGTGTAATGAAAAAACGAGGAACAGGTAATGTTGAAAACACTCATGAAAGGATGACCATCAAGAAAGGATCTAACTTAAAAGGAAAAATATGAGTTTTTGTCTTTGAAGAAAATTGAAATGCATGGTATGTAGAAACAAAAGCTTGCACTTTAAAGGCATCTCTGGGCAATACGCAGTTTTGCAAGAAAACCTCCAGGTGCCGCTGTTGGCCAGAGAGAAGAGATGCATTCTCAGTTCCGCAGGAGTCCAGCCAGTGCCTTTCTGCTTTTTCCGACACAACTTGGAACACAGTCGCTGCTCTGGTGCATCTTCAGAGCATCTTGAACAAGCAAGTTCTGCTTCAAATCACAAGTCATCTATTTTTTTAAAAAAAGAAAAGAAACATTTCCCAGATAAATCTTGAAAAGAAGCCTCCTGGGGAATCCAAGAAATGCAGAGAAACACCAGAGGAATGGAAACCATAAAAAGCCAGGTACTGTTTCTCTTCCTGCTGTCTTTGTTCTATGAAGCCATCTCTGAACCAATCCGATACTCTATTCCAGAGGAGCTGGGCAAGGGCTCCCGGGTAGGGAACCTAGCCAAGGATCTAGGGCTCAGTATCCAGGAGCTGCCAACTTGCAAACTTCGAGTCAGTGCAGAGGATTATTTCCATGTCAGTGCAGAAAATGGGGAGTTGTTAGTGAGTGGCCGGATAGATAGAGAGGAGATTTGTGGGAGAAAGTCGGACTGTGCATTGGAATTTGAATCAGTCACTGAAAACCCAATGAATATTTTCCATGTCATTGTTGCAATCCAAGATATTAATGATAATGCACCATATTTTGCTGCAAAAGGCATTGAATTAGAAATCTGTGAGTCAGCCATACCAGGGGTAAAATTTCCTTTGGATTCTGCACAAGATGCAGATGTAGAAAGTAACTCACTGAAGTTATACACCATCAGCCCCAATCAGCACTTCAGTCTTTCAACAAAGGAAAGTCCAGATGGAAGTAAATACCCAGAATTACAGCTGGAAAAACTTCTAGACAGGGAACGTCAGAGTTCCCATCGCTTAATCCTAACTGCCATTGATGGTGGGGACCCACCTCTGAGTAGCACCACCCAGATCTGGATCAAAGTCACTGATGCCAATGATAATGCTCCAGTGTTCAGCCAGGACATATACAAAGTTAGACTCCAAGAAAACATGCCCCTGGGAACCTCTATCCTGAGGGTATTGGCCACAGACCAGGATGAGGGTACCAATGCAGAGATCACCTACACCTTTCTTAATGTCCCTGCAAGTACGAGCCTCATCTTCAATCTAAATCCCCATACTGGTGATATCACAACCAATGGGACCTTGGATTTTGAAGAAAGAAATAAATACTTGCTTGGTGTAGAAGCCAAGGATGGAGGGGTGCACACAGCCCACTGTAATGTTCAGATTGAAATTGTTGATGAGAACGACAATGCCCCAGAGGTGACATTTATGTCCTTTTCTAACCAAATTCCAGAGGACTCAAATCCTGGAACTGTAGTAGCTCTGATTAAAGTAAAAGACAAGGATTGGGGGGAAAATGGTCTAGTCACATGTTATATTCAGGAAGAAGTTCCTTTTAAGTTGGAACCCACCTCCAAGAATTACTACAAGCTCATGATTGACAAAACTCTAAATCGAGAAGAGACCTCAATGTATAACGTTACCATCACTGCCACTGACAAGGGCAAACCGCCGCTTTCCACCGAGACATCCATTACACTACACATCACAGATGTCAACGACAATGCACCTGTTTTCCACCAGGCCTCCTACGTGGTCCACGTGGCTGAGAACAACCCTCCCGGAGCCTCCATCGCCCAAGTCAGCGCCTCCGACCCAGACCTGGGGCCCAACGGCCAAGTGTCCTACTCCATCCTGGCCAGCGACCTGGAGCCAGGCGCGCTGTCGTCCTACGTGTCGGTGAGCGCGCACAGCGGGGTGGTGTTCGCCCAGCGTGCCTTCGACCACGAGCAGCTGCGCTCCTTCCAGCTCACTGTGCAGGCGCGCGACCAGGGCTCGCCCCCGCTGCGCGCCAACGCCAGCCTGCGCGTGACAACGCGCCGCGCGTGCTCTACCCCGCGCTGGAGCCCGACGGCTCGGCGCTCTTCGACATGGTGCCGCGCGCCGCCGAGCCCGGTTACCTGGTCACCAAGGTGGTGGCGGTGGACGCCGACTCTGGACACAATGCCTGGCTGTCCTACCACGTGCTGCAGGCCAGCGATCCCGGCCTCTTCAGCCTGGGGCTGCGCACCGGCGAGGTCCGCACCGCTCGCGTCCTGGGGGACAGGGATGCGGCCCGCCAGCGCCTGGTGGTGGCTGTGCGCGATGGTGGACAGCCGCCCCTCTCGGCCACTGCCACTCTACACCTCATCTTCGCAGATAGCCTGCAAGAAGTGTTGCCAGACCTGCGCGATGACCCTTCGCCCTCGGACCCTCAGACAGAACTACAGTTTTACCTGGTGGTGGCCTTGGCCTTGATCTCTGTACTCTTTCTT